AGGAGAACACAGGCAGCAACCTCTTTGACCTCAGCCGCAGCAACTTGTTCCTAGAAACATCGCCAAAGGCAAGGGAAGCAAGGGCAAAAAGGAACTATTGGGACTTCATCAAGATAAAAAGCTTTTGCACAGCAAAGGAAACAATCAACAAAACCCAAAGACAACCTATGGAATGGCAGAAGATATTTTTAAATGACATATCAGATAAAGGGCTAGTATCCAAAGTCTATAAAGAACTTAATCAAACTCAACACCCAAAGAACAAATAATCCAATCAAGAAATGGCCAGAAGACATGAACAAACATTTTTCCAAAGAAGATATCCAAATGGCTAACAGACACATGAAAAAGTGCTCAACATCACTTGGCATCAGAGAAATACAAATCAAAAAACCTCAATGAGATACCATCTCACACCAGTCAGAATGGCTAAAAATAACAAGTCAGGAAACGACAGATGTTGGCGAGGATGCAGAGAAAGGTGAACCCTCCTACACTGTTGGTAGGAATGCAAGCTGGTGCAGCCACTCTGGAAAACAGTATGGAGGTTCCTCCAGATGTTGTAAATAGAACTACCCTACGACCCAGCAACTGCACAACTGGATATTTCCCAAAGATACAAATGTAGTGATCTGAAGGGGCACATGCACCCCAATGTTTATAGCAATAATGTCCACGACAGCCAAACTATGGTAAGAGCCAAGATGTCCATCAACAGATGAATGGATAAAGATGATGTGGTGTATATATATATGCACAATGGAATATTATGCAGCCATCCAAAAAAATGAAATCTTGCCATTTGCAACAATGTGGAGGGAACTAGAGGGTATTATGCTAAGTGAAATAAGTCAATCAGAGAAAGACAAATATCATATGATCTCACTGATATGAGGAATTTGAGAAACAAGACAGAGGACCATAGGGGAAGGGAGGGAAAAATGAAACAAGATGAAACCAGAGAGGGAGACAAACCATAAGAGACTCTTAATCTCAGCAAACAAACTGAGGGTTGGTGGAGTGGAGGGAGGTGGGAGTTATGGGGTGGCTGGGTGATGGACATTGGGGAGGGTATGTCCTATGGTGAGCGCTGTGAATTGTGTAAGACCCATGAATCACAGACCTGTACCCCGAAACAAATAATATGTTAATAAAAAAAAAAGAAAAAGAAATACAGAAACAAAAAAAAAAACAAGAAAAATCACATGGAAATGTGGTTCTGAAAATGTAAGTTTCCATAAAAGCAGTCTCCTAGAGGCGCCATTTTTAAATATCTGAAAAAAAATGCAAAGAAGGAAATTTGAATGTTTTTGTTTCCTTCTAGACCTAATTCCCTCTTAGATCTGTGTAGGAAAGGTTTAACTTGAAAAACTATACTGAACACTGAAATAAGGGAGTTCTTCTACCTAACATCCCAGTTATTTGCTACATGCAAAATCTTTGATTACAGTGCTATTTCGAATTCAAGAAGCAATTAACTGTGGAAATGTGAAGAGGTGATACTTACTGCTTCTCAGAGCAGTGGTAAATAAAGCATGTGGTGACATTAGGGAATTAGCAATTCTTCCTGGGAAACCTATAGACATGCTTTCACTCAAGCGCTGTACCAACTTCACATTTCCTCCTTTACCTTTCCTTTCCTCAACTATCTCACTTTACATTATCATGATCTTATCTGATTTCTTTCTGAAACCCTTACTTAAGCCCCTTCAAGGATCAAGAGGGCAAGAGAAACAGCTTAGACAGAAACTTCAGAACAGAAACATTAGAATAAATTCATCTGAATGAAAATAAGCTGCAAGTTAAATTTAATTAAATGTATTTATTATAGACAAGACTCACTGGTAGACACTGCAGGGAATTAAACCACAGATACCATGTCACCATCCTAATTTAAAATGTTCAGTAACTCCCACTGCCCACAACATGGCATCCAACTAGGTTAACTCTGAGAATGAAGAGAGACACATACACAACCAGTATAATCAGGACTGTCTTGGGAAAACTGGAGCATGTGGTTGCCCTACATGCAATGTTCTGCTGCTCTGCCTGACATGTCTTCCCAGCCTGCCTCGCAATATGCTCCCATGCAAGCAAAACACAACAGCCGAAATCCTCACAAACACACCAAGCACCTACTGCCTTTATTTCCTCTGTCCAGATGCCCAATGTCAAATTCCTCATTTCCTCTGGCTCCTCTCAAAGTTAACAGAAAGTGACACACACATTCAAATTGGAATCAGTTTACAAAAACATGGAATTAAAAGAAGTCTGTTTGGATGAACTTGCTATCCACTTAACTGGAGCTTCTGATTCCAAAGTCAATATATGACAAAATGAAATTATTGGATGAAAAAACAGGTAAAATCAAATACGATGACATTTAAAGGAATCCAATGTAAACTCATTTGCAAAAACTCAGAAAATTATAATAAAATCAGTGTCAAAAGACACTAAGGCTTTAGCTGACCTCCCTGCTTCTGCCTTCAATGAACTAGTGATCAAATCTTAATGATACTACTTTACAGTCTCAGGATAGTTCTACAGAAATGGATACTCTTTCTAGGGCTCTTTAGTTGTCGAATCTGAATGCAGGAGAAAACTGGATAAGCTCAAAAAATTCCTTTTACTCTTAATTATTGTACTATAGATTTTTTTTTTTTAAAAGAGGGTATTGCAACTGATGAAAAGTTTTAAGCACATTCTTATTCACTCCTACTCTACACACACACATACACACACACACACAGAGCCTTAACATAATGAAGTCTGTCAATTTACAACCACTCTCCCAAAAAAGAGGACAAAATAACAACAACAAAATGTGCAGGGGCACCTGGGTGGCTCAGTCGGTTGAGCATCTAACTCTTAGTTTTGGCTCAGGTCATGATCTCATGGGTCATGGGATCGAGGCCCATGTCAGGCTCTGCACTCAGCAGGGAGTCTGCTTGAGGATTCTCTCCCTTTGCCCCTTCCCCCACTTGTGTGTGCTCTCTCTCTCTCTCTCAAATAAATCTTAAAAAATGTGCACACTGCTTGTAGATATTTAAAAGTAACACTTCAGTAAATAACTATGGCATCCTGTTGGTTAAAATGTCATTTCACAAATTCTCTAAAACAAAAGAAAAAAGACAATATGACCTAGCTACAAGCTACATTTTGATATCTTGACAGGTAATTTTTCTTAAAGTTCTAAACATAGATCAATGCAAATAACAGGAAAAGAATCAACCATTACTTACCAATATCGTTTCTAGTAAGGCGACAGTATCCTGACTTTCAAATTTCTTATTGTTTGTGAACCAGTGAATCAGTTGCATAACTAGGGGCTCATATAGTTGCCTTGTCACCTGAAGAACAATACCATTAGAGTTTATTTTCTTTATGGTAAAGTAATTTAATATTGGAAAGAGTTCTGTCTAAATGACAGGAAAAATTAAGTAATAATACAATGGTTTTATTAGTTTCCTTTTCTAGTTAAAATTCATTGATGAACATGTTCTTTCTAGCTCTTCTTCACTGTTTCCTGAGTCCAGCAGAGAAAAATATGCATACTAAAACTTATTGTTCTTCAATTATGGAGGCAGATATTGTTTGTTTCTTAAAAATATTTATCTTCATTAATTTGATCCTAAACATGCATATAAGGTATTCTGGATCACAGACATTATCATTATTCAACTAAAAAGCAAATACTGCCAGGTGCCTGGGTGCCTCAGTTGGTTAAGCATCCGACTCTTGATATCAGCTCAGGTCATGATCTCAGGGTCATGAGATTGAGCCCCAATGCCTAGCATGGAGCCTGCTTAAGATTCTCTCTCTCCCTCTCCTTCGGCCCCATCCCCCCCACCCTGTTCTCCCTCTCCCTCTCTTTCCCAAAAAAAAGGCAAATAATGACCACGTGGTTCCCTACAGCGTGATTCACACCCTTGTGGTGACAAAATGAAAGTCAGATCAACACCCTACGTATACAAACTTTAAAGCCCATATCACAGAAGAAGAGATAAAGGACAAAGAATCAACTCTCTTACCCTGCCAAAAAGAAGGAGTAAAATCTTTACTACTTGGAGCTTGGGATGGAAAAGATCTTGGGTTCTCACTCCAACCTTCTAGAATGTAAATAAAGTTTCTCCAGGAGCAGAGAGCCTTGTGGGTCTCTGGCTTTTACAATCCCAGATGTCTGCCAGGCCTGGACTCCTCCCCTCTGAAAGATAATACCCAGGGAGACAGTACTCATCTTCCTGGAACCTTGGGAGCTTAACGTGGTGGCCTAGTCTGGTGTGACCATGTGATCTCTTGGGTAGTTAAAAGAGGTCTTATTATCCTTTTGGATCATAGCAATTACCTACACAAATGATTACACATCTAATCCTCATTATATATGAAAAGTAAAATGTTTATGGCAGAAATGAAGGCAAACTTTGTATCTTAAACATTTCTGTGTCTCAGAAGGCTAAGGCTCCTATAGAAATACCAAGAAATCCAGGGGAGTTCTATCTCCCCACTGACACTGAGCTCAAGAATGAAGCACTTTGGTACGTATATCATGTCAAAACCATGTAGAATGTCTGGGGACTCAGACTAAACAACACAGTCCTCTTGCCCTTGGATATTTTTCCCCAAAAGAGTATCTTTCTAACCTTAGGACTAATCAAAGTAAAAGTTCTTACCTTTAAAGATTTTTTAAATTAATTAATTAATTAATTAATTAATTTATTTATTTATTTGACAGAGAGAGACACAGCGAGAGAGGGAACACAAACCAGGGGGAGTGGGAGAGGGAGAAGCAGGCTTCCCGCCGAGCAGGGAGCCCGATGCGGGGCTTGATCCCAGGACCCTGGGATCATGACCTGAGCTGAAGGCAGACGCTCAACCGACTGAGCCACCCAGGCGCCCCAAGTTCTTACCTTTAAGTGTGGAAGTTTAACTTGGTCTTAAAGCATCACTTTTTTTTCCCAAAAGAATTATACTCTCTTATCCATAGTAAGTAAATTATATACATATAATACACATGCATACACACAAATGTATATATATACATATACACACCTTATAGAAATTACAGAAAATGTAGAAAACTATATCTACAATTCTATATCCCAAAGATAATGACTGAGAACATTCAAAATCACTGTAACTTTCAAAATATTTTATTTACACACATTTAAATATACATATATGCATATGTAAAAATAAATACACATTTTTGTAACCACTTTTCCTCTTAATTTTGAGTATTTTCATATAAATACATAAGCTATATCAATATTTTATTAGCTGCCTCGTATCTCATATATAGATATACCATGATCCAGTTGCCCAAATCCTATTATTAGAAATGCAGGTATTTTTGACTATTAGGAAGAAATCACTGAAAAGTCACATACACTGTTCTGAGCACATCTGTAGTAATCAAAGTATTGGTCCAGGGTGCAGGTCACCCAGCCTTTTGCTCTGCCCACCTATAGCCTGGGTCCATTCACATTCCCACCAGCCACAACTCTCAAGGTCCTTTCCCTACATGCTTGCCAACACTAAACACTGTCAATTTTTTAAAGTATTTGACAATAGGGGCGGCCTGTGTGGCTCAGCCGGTTAAGCATCTGCCTTCAGCTCAGGTCATGATCCTAGGGTCCTGGGATCCAGCCCCACATTGGGCTCTCTGTTCAGAGCTGGGGAGGCTGCTTCTCCCTCTCCTTCTGCTGGTCCCCGTGCCTGTGCTCTCTCTCTCTCTCAAATAAATAAAAAAAATCTTTAAAAAAATAATAATAAGATAAAATATTTGACAATAGATGTAAACAATATCATTTTAATTTGAATTTCCTTGTTTACTAAAAAGATGAAATATTTAAAAGTATCTTTCATTGGCTATATATCTCTCTTCATTTATCAACTGTCTATTTGTGGTTTTTTTTTTTTTTAATATTTTATTTATTTGACAGAGAGATAGCGAGAGCAGGAACACAAGCAGGGGGAGTGGGAGAGGGAGAAGCAGGCTTCCCGCGGAGCAGGGAGCCCGATGCGGGGCTCGATCCCAGGACCCTGGGATCATGACCTGAGCCGAAGGCAGACGCCTAACGACTGAGCCACCCAGGCGCCCCTCTATTTGTGTTCTTTATCCACTTGCCCATTTAAGGCTCTTTTATCCTCAGTGGAGTGTTGCAAAAAAATTTCCCTACGTTATGTACATAGAAAAATTGTGTTTTTTGTGCCATTCAGTATTTTTAAGCATTTATAAAGTCAAAACTGTCAAGACGTTAATATTTTTCTTCCATATATCTGCTTCTATATTTTGTAGGAAAATCTCCCTTTCTATGCAGACTTTAGGGAAAGACGTGGAAGGATGCCTATAATGTAATGATAATGAAGTCCATCCAAGTAGCAGAAATCACATTTTGTACATAAAAGTTTTTGAATATGCATGTTTGTGAAAACATGTTTTTACAAAGATCTGGGCATATATTCACCAACCTTTTGGCAGAGGAGAAAGGGGCTTTTCCAGGGGAATAAGAGTGGGAAAGGGGTGATGAGATGGAGATTCACTTTTAGCTTCATGTGTTTCTATATTAAGTAACATATTTTATCAATGAAAAAGACCATTCTGATCCAAAGATACACACAGACATGTTATAACTCATTACATTTTTCTGTAATATAGTTTGTTTTTCCTTCTCTTAATTTGAAATTAATTTTTCATGTTAGCCAACTGGCCTAATATGATTTACTAAATGATCCATTTCTAACTTAGAAAGCCTCTTCTACCATATATACAATTTTTATGTATACACATGAGTCCACTTGGCAGCTATAAGATCCTCCCACCAATCTATCTGTGCCTAGTTCAATGCTATTATAATTAACATGGTTTCATTTTAACATCTGCTAAGGCAAGACTTCCTTTAGTACTCTACCCTTTCAAAATTTTTCTTGGTTAGGCTCAAGCAATTATTCTTTCAGATTACTTTTTGGGTTAAAATGAAATTAATTCTGGGCTTTCTGCTGGAATGATACCAAACTTAATGACTGATTAGGGAAGAGCTGGCATTTTTTCAATATTAATTCTTCTTTTTTTTTTTAAAAAAGATTCCATTCATTTATTTGAGAGAGAGAGAGAGGGGTCACAAGCAAGGGGAGGGGCACAGGGAGAGGGAGAAGCAGGCTCCCTGCTGAGCAGGGAGCCCAATGCAGGGCTCAATCCCAGGACCCTGAGATCATGACCTGAGCTGAAGGCAGATGCTCAACTAACTGAGCCACCCAGGTGCCCCACAATATTGATTCTTCTATCTCAAGTACCGAGCATGCTCATTTTATATTCATAAAATATACATCACCTGGCATATTAAAATTTATTTATAGACATTTTATATATATATATTTGATGCTATTAATGAGATGCTGTAAACATATTTACATATTTTCCAAGTGGTCAATACTAATATTAAAGATATATAAGAATGCTGGGATGCCTGGGTGGCTCAGTCAGTCGAGTGTCTGACTTTTGATGTAGGCGCAGGTCATGATCTCAGTGTTATGACATCAAGCCCAGTGTCAGGCTCCACGCTGAGGGTGGAGCCTGTTTAAGATTCTCTCTCTTTCTCTCCCTCTGCCCCTCCCCCCCAGTTCTCTCTCTAAAAGAAAAAAATATATATATGTATGTATTTATGAGAATACTCATATATGAGAATTTTGTAATTCATCAGCTTCTTCCTTTACTAACTCCTCGAGTTTAGCAGTTGGTATTTTTGGGCTTTCCAGGTTTAATAAAAAAAATTATAATCAAAATAATAATCTCTTCTCCTTCCTTTCTACTGTCCTTGTCCTCAGGGAACTCAGCCTGGTGAGAGGCTCAAATACTAACCACTTCAAATAATTAATTAAATGCACGTGAAGTAATACTAAACAACCACTCCATACTACAGGAACTGCTCTGGTTAGGTGCTGGAGGTGCCCCTCAACAGGCCAACTCACTGCCTCACCTTGGGCTTCTGTCCTGGCCCAAGCACAAGGCATTAGTGCCTCATGCCTGGGGATGATTTGGCTCTAGTCTTCAGGGAGACATTCTTTATCGTATTAAAGATAACATTAAACTCTTCCTAGTTTAGCAGGACAAATACCTTTTAGGCTTCTATGGTGACAATCACTGCTTCTGAAATCTGATTCTGTGGTGAATTTCCAGTTTTAAACAAAAATCCTATTTATTCACAGCACATCTTAATACTTTGCTGGATTGTATTCATTTATATATGGTGAAGAATGTTCCATCTATATTTTCAAATGAGGTTTTGTTTTTTGTTTTTTTTTTTTAAGATTTTGTTTATCAGAAAGAGAGAGAGCGCACAAGCAGGGGGAGTGGCAAGCAGAGGGAGAAGCAGTCTCCCTGTGGAGCAAGGAGCCCAATGTGGGGCTCCATCCCAGGACCCTGGGATCATGACCTGAGCCGAAGGCAGACGCTTAATGACTGAGCCACCCAGGCGCCCCTCAAATGAGTTTTTCATTTAGTTTCCTTTTTTATGTGTGCACCCTAGTATCAGAGATATACTAGCTTCATCAACTGAACTGAGAATTCTAGTTTTTTCTCCTTCATTGCAGCAATGGAGAATTTACCACAAATTCATCAGGCAGAGGCCATTTGTCAACATTTGCAATCTTGTACATGGTTACTTATCTCTCCTTCACTCCTTGAGACTGTAAGTCCCTACATGAGGGGAGACTGCCAACTCAGCTTTAGATGCCTACCCTATCAGTAACTGTTCAGTGATTCATTCCCAAATTGTGGCACATTAAAAATCACCAGGAGAGCTTTTAAAAGTCCCAATCCCTAAGGTCAAATCCCTGAGGAATTAAATCAGTCAGAAGGGGCAGCAGCCAAGTAGCAGTATTTAAGATCCCCAGGGCATTCCAACCTGCAGCAAGCTCTGACGATCACTGAACTAGACCCAACTTTGCAACTGTGTCAGATTCAAAATCATTCACTTACCTGATCTACATCACATGCAAGTTGAAGTAGCACAGGAAAAGTTCGCTTGTAGAGCTGGTACATGGGTGGGAAACCTTGATCACCTTCAGGCATTTGAGTGGCTTTTCCCAACATAAACATAACCATGCTGTGTAAAAGCTCACAAGCCGCAACCTAAAATAAGCCAGGAGTTCAACCGAGTTTAAGTTTCCAGGTTTACAAGGGAAGAATATTTTGAAATGTTAACTCCATTTAGCCCTTTAAAAAGAAACTTTTTACAGCAGATGTAAAATATATAAATTTATATAATTATACTTAACTGGAAGTAGCACTTCTTGTGTAAAATTAACGCTCTGGGCACTTTAGTCTGTATCCAAGAGGTAAGAATTGAAACTTAAAAGATTTAGACAAATTGGGACTAGTGCATTCATAGAAATATATTTCACTGTGGCCATTACTACAGAACTTTGCTTCAATTGTTAACACATTTTCAACCATCACTTTTAGTAAATATACTTTTAAAGTACTTCAGAAATTTACAAATGAATTTCATAAAAACTTGAGATTATGTGTTTCTAATCTCCCAGGTTAAGGAGATAACGGTGCACAGACTGGAAATCACTTTTAAATGCCCTTTGTACTGTATTTTCTATTATGAACAGTCTTGGTGTATTAATGTTTTGCCAGGTTATTATCTATTAGATATTTCCTTTTTATCAGTGACAACTACTTCTGATAACTGAATCATTGTCTAATTACCATATTATGGAAAATATAAAATTAATGATATTGGAATTCAGGGTTTTAAAAAGCAGAGATTCTAAATAATGTGTAATGAAAAAAGTACTTTAGTTTGTCTGTCGCTAGCTGAAAGAGCTAATTCTGTGACCCGAGGCAAGAACACATCCAGATAAATGACAGGTTTCATTTCTATAAATGGTACTGCAAAACTGAGTCTTTTTTCTCTGTCCCATGCCACACATTTCTTCATCATTTCATCTGAGGATGCAACTGTTAAAAAAAATCAGGAAGAGCATGTTTTCATTCAAAATCTTTCTAATAGCAATTGCTCTACAATTCATTAGTGAAAGAAGAGTGTGTTAAGTATGTTATTCATCTTTCCTTTTCTGTTTTGTTTTACTTCAGACATGTAACTACAACATTAGAAACCACTGACAAACTATTTCTAACTTCGATTTAAAGTAAAATTATTTTTTGGGGTGCCTGGGTGGCTCAGTTGTTAAGTGTCTGCCTTCGGCTAGGGTCCTGGTCCCAGGGTCCTGGGATTGAGTCCCACATCGGATTCCCTGCTCAGTGGGAAGCCTGCTTCTCCCTCTCCCACTCCCCCTGCTTGTGTTCCCTCTCTCACTGTCTGTCAAATAAATAAATAAAATCTTTAAAAAAAAAAAAAAAGTAAAATTATTTTTAAACAAATTTAACAGTCTAGAATGTTTAATTTCCATTTTCAGTAAGAATTATTTTAGGTGTTATATGGAAAAATGATAAAAGAACAATATTTTTATTAAAAATCTCCCCTTTGTAAAACTTATTTTCTCAGTATAGGTTCTAACTTCCTAAATAACCAAAAGTCACTAGTATACTTAATATGAAATTTCAAAACTAAAAATACACATGAATTTTTACTAATCTAAAATATTGATTCCAGTCAAAAACACTCTAGAAATATCCAAATACTAAGAATATCGTATTTTTTTTTATGTAATGTTAATCACCATACATTACATCATTAGTTTTTGATTAGTGTAAGAATATTGGATTTAAAAAAGATTAACTTTGAATTCCTGACACAATGTTTAATATTTTTAAAAAAATGTCAAACTAGATTCTGTTTCAAAATGGAAAATGTACTTAACAAATCAGGCTAGAACATTTTCCCAACTAGTAGTGAATTATCCAGATTGCATGGGTATAGTCAAAGCATTTCATTAGGCAAAATACTGTTCTTTGTAATCTTATTTGAAAATATATAAATCACATATAGGAGCAAATACCAGAATATACCATGATCTTTACACATCCAAATTAAAGTACAAATACATCTACAGAGGTAAATTTATTTTAAAGCAAAGTTTACCTGTTAGGAGATTTTTGTTTATTTGTCCTCCTAGAAAGCCAAGCATTTGTACTACTCTAATCCTTATTTCTTCTAAGGACAGTGCTTCATTCTGCAAATTTGAACAATGATATACATGTGATGATAACAGAGTTAAAAATTAAGAGAATTATGAGAGGAAAAAATAAACTATTTTACGACCCTCTCTGTTATTAATGTCTCTTAATGGCTCATTATATCTACATAGTACTGCTGTTAATATTATTGCAAATTCATGGAAACAAGTCACATGTTTTCCAGTTTTGCAGTCATATATCCATTTCCAAGGCCAGCAGTTCCAAAGTGTTGGCAGGACCCTTTATACCCTTAAAAAATACTGAAGATCCCCAAAGAACTTTTAAAGTGGGTCATATTTATCAGTATTTATCATACTAGAGATTAAAACCTTGACATTGTTATTATTTTATTTAAAAATATGAAACCCATTACACGTTAACAAATGACATAGTTTTAGGAAAAGTAACTGTATTTTCCAAATAAAATTTAAAAACCTCAGGAAAGTGACACTTTCACATTTGTGCATCTCTTTGTCTGGCTCACTAGAAAACAACTATGGTGATACGTTGTTTGGGCCACGCTTGGAAGAGAGCGGTGTATTTTAATAATCTTTTTAGATAACTGTGGTTATTCTTTGACACTACTCTAAAACTGAACAAGTGGTAAGGTCTGTTACATTAAAATCCATTGGTCTATCTTGCACTTTGAGCGGATTTTTTTTTACCCATGCATGATTTGGTAGCATAATGTACTGGTCATCTCAAAATATTGGTTTACTCGGTTATGCAGATCTTCCAAATGTTGACACATTTCATTACATATGGAAAAAAAAAATCACATTTGTTAATATCACCAATCTCTTCAGAAAAATCTTTAAGTACTGAGAAGCTGTCAAGCTCATGGTGATGGTTTCAAGTTTTCCAAAATTTAATTTTTGTTTAAAAAGCTTGAATTTTATCATTGGCAACAAATAATCTCAAATGTTTTCTTTGAAGTGACAGGCTCACTCTATTTATTTTAGATAAAATCTCTGCCAAATACTGAATAGCTACAGTTTGTCTTGTCAGTTGTTCTTTCAAGTAAAAATGGTGTTCATGAAATAAGTCGCTACTTGAGCTCACAGCTCAAAGCATCACAAAAGTGCTTTTCCTGAAGAGAACTGTTACACTGCACTATGCGGTAGACTGTTTTATGCATACTTCCTGTTTCATCACACAGAACATTAAAAAGACATGCCTTCAAGGGTCAAGATTTAATAAAGTGCTAAGGAACCAACAGTGTTACCCACCATTACACCACAGTGCAAATGTCACTGAGTAAAAATAGTTTTGGCCTTGTACCCTGGAACCCACAGGGGTCCTCACTTCAAGAACCACTCTCCTAGAGAATATGGGATTATGTATCTGTAAAGAAATTTTATTTGCAAAACTCGAGGTATTCTCAAGTAATTTTAACTTGCCTTATTTATATGTGATAAAATAACTTAAATATTTTAGACAGACATTTCCAGTTGTATGCAGTCTCTCAATCAAAAGCTGTCAAAGATAATGAGGTAGAAAGAATTTACCCTGGAGCTTGCATTATCAGTTCTAAACATAAGAAGTTTTTCAAATTTTAATTTTCACTTCATACCTAAAATACATATTTTCTCTATACTGTTTTCTCTTTATTCTTTTTTTCCTATTACATTATACGCCACATCTCAAAAACCTGATCTTAAGAAATCATCACCAAAAAACACAAAAACTGGCATGAATTAAATTTGATAAAATGATGTATTTTAAGATCTAGTATGTAAATGATTCACTCTTACATACCCATATCAATATTCTGATTGCTTATTGAATATGAAACATACTACTTTTTATTATCCACTAAATACATCTGAAGGTGAAGAAAACAGGAAAACAAGATCAAGACAATAAACCAAAGAGTTAATATTTCTTACATTCTTACAGCTAAAAACATATTGAAATTATTTCTATACTGCAATTTATATATAAGAATTAACATTTTAAATGAAGATTTTTACTTTTCATAAGCATTAGAATCTAATCTCTGCATTGTTTAAGGTAAAGAAAATACAAGGGATTTCTTACTGATGAAATGTTCTTTGTCTTTTTCAGATGCTTTAATAAAACTTTATTAAATCCTTTCTGGGCAGCTTGAGAAAGTGCTGACACCTCCCAATTGTTCTTGGTCTCATCTATCAACAGTAAACAAAAATCAATTTTAAATAGCATTCATTCAGTTTTTTGATGAATACTAGGGAACACACAATATTGCCAAATAGAAGCATTAAAATCCTAATTTTAATTATGGTTAAAATGTTTTGACAACAAAAGGAAATTATAGTGGTTGTCCTGGTTTAAATATCATTGTCTACTAAAAGGAACATGGTTCTTTGGAGAAGTGGCTAACTCCAGAGACTGGGCAGACCTGTATTTATAAGAGGAGCCTGAATCACTTTGTGGTTCCAGAAGTAAGGAGCTGCTTGAAGAAATGCAGCCAGCCCCCATTCTTTATATGAAAGCCAAATTGAAACAATCTGAGCTTCAAAATTAATAATAATAAAAGATTGGAGTCATTGGAAAAGTAAGGATCCACAAGTCCCTACTAATAAAAATAGGTGAGAAAAGAAAGTTACTGCTTATAGTAAAATGCCAACTAGTATACAGGAATGATGGAGTTGGAAAATTACTATTTTGCAACGATCACAGCATTAATGAATATTAGGAATAATCATCAAGGGACACTAAAACTATTATGGTGAAAACTCAAAGAGAAGCAATGAGGAGCTGTAAAATATCTCCTTATAAATTTTTTTGAAATGATCATAAACTTAGAGAAAATTTTAAAGTATGGTACAAAACTTCCTTCCTGAACCACTTAAGAGTAAATTACCAACCTGATGCCCCACCATCCCTGAATATTTCAGTCCTGCAAGGACATTCTATGTGACAGCCATGTCAACTATCCAAATCTGGATACTTGTCTTGAGACATGACCCACAATTAATCCTCAGCTCCATTCATGTTCCAGCATCGATCCTAATAACGTCTTTAGTTCAGAACCATGTCATATTTAGTTGTCCTGTCTTTTTAGTATCCTTTAAACTGAAACAGTTCTTCAGTCTTCCCTTGAATTTCATGATTTGAACACTAAAAAATTATATGCCAGGAATTTTGTATACTGTCCCTCTATTTGATTTGTCTAATGTTTTCTCATGATTAGATTCAGGTTGTAGAAGCCAGTTTAACATTTTACTAGTTCCTTTATTACTACTGAGTTAAATAAAATCTTTGACACGTGCACTTTATACCAATGTAGAGTTATAGTTTTAAAGCTATAAAGTTATTTTTCACTAGTTCTGGAGATGTCCAGTGGATTGGCTGACAGAGCCAGGTAAGCTGCTTTGCTGGAAGACACCTCAGAGATGGTTTAATCCCAGCATGTCTTTTCTTGGCTCCCGGAGTGAATCCCAAATGATAACAGAACCTTACCTCTGCTTTCTCTTTGTCTAGTTCTCCTCTCTATAATTTTGTGCTTTTGGTTTGCTTATGCCCAGTAAGCTCGTCTCCATGGGTTGAAGCAATAACTAAGAATTTCTCTGCTTATCACTTTGTGACCTTTTGTGTTACGGATGTTAGAGATCCACTAGCTGATGGTCCAGAGATAAAGAGAGGATCTGGATTTTTGTTTGTTTTGGGTTTTTTGGTATTTTTTCTTTGAGCTCAAATTAGTTCAGAATTTCACACACTGGGAAAAACAGCTCTTTGATATCTGGACTGGTCAGTGTTTTGTCTCACTCTTGAGTCTCTTGTCTCACTCTTGAGTCTCTTGAGCTATGACTCAAATTGCAGAACTAAAGCAATATGCTCTGCATCTGCTGGCGTATATATGTGCCTGAATTGACAAAGGCCTTTACTTCTCCCTACGTGCATAATGTTCTCCTATATTTGGAGGGTATTAATAGATTAGATAATAAAGTCTCTTTAAAGACCTCTGTTGTGCCTTATAAAGTAAAATGTAAAATGAATATTCCTGTAATTCTGTGAAAATGCTTTCAGCATTCACTATAAGGCTTTAAATGTGCCATACTTTAAAAAAAAATCTTAGAAAAACTAATTCAGAAACATTTTAGGAAACCATATTACATAATTAAGGCACATCTTTGGTAAATGAGACAAGTTTAATAATTTTGGTTTAAACTTTTAAAATGGGCATTCTTAAGGGGCGCCTGGGTGGCTCAGTTGGTTAAGCGACTGCCTTCGGCTCAGGTCATGATCCTGGAGTCCCGGGAT